CGTGTCCCCCGGGGAGGAGGTGGGCATACTCAGGCGTGTCCCCCGGGGAGGAGGTGGACATACTCAGGCGTGTCCCCCGGGGAGGAGGTGGGCATGCTCAGGCGTGTCCCCTGGGGAGGGGGTGGACATGCTCAGGTGTGTCCCTCGGCAGTGAGGTGTGCATGCTCAGGTGTGCCCTCTCCAGAGGAGGGGAGTGTGGGAGACACGTCCACTGCTGGCCTCCTGTCCCCTCGTTCCAGCCTGAGGCCTTCTCTGGGCGCTCCCCTGTTGGTGACTGGAATTAACTTGCTCCTCTGCTGCCTTCCTGTAAGGGCTTTTTTTTTGTAAGTCATTTCCTACTCACATAGGTTCCTCTCTGCAGAGACACTCATCTCTGGTGGTATGGGCCTTTATTCGGCATCGTCTCTCCAGCCAGCGCTGACAGCAGGGGCCTCTCAGGGGCAGCAGGCCAGGCTGCTTTTCTGGAGCTCACTTCCTCTCCCCCTGCCTTTTGGACCCATCAGGATCCTCAGGCAAGAGGTCTCCAGGGAGACACAGCTGAAACTCCTTGCTCTGCTTTGGTGCCTACGTTGGCGCTGCCATTTCCAGTGTGGATTAAAAGTGGCTGTGGGGCAACCCAAGTGTCCTGCCGGAATCCCTTGTAGGAGGTGGTGGCTGTGGGCACGGGGTGGTGTCAGGAGGCCCATGGCTTACCTGCATTGGCCACTCCTGCTCTGAGTGTGTGCAGCAGGCCAGGCCCTGGGCATCCAGGCTTTCTCCTGGTGGTCAGAGAAACTGAGAACAGGGGACCGAGACAGCTCCAGGGGACATCAAGCGGCCCTGCAGTGAGATAGTAGTGGTGGTGGAGGGGAGAGAGCACGCTCTCCCCGCCACACACCTTTGGTGTGGGCCCCTGGGACCCACTGTGGCATTAGCCTCTGCTGCATCACACCCACTCGCTAGGGTTCCGATTTTCACCCATGGATGACCCCTCTTTCTCAGGGTTGCCGAGAGTAAAGCAGGAAAAGGGATGCCTTTTGTCCAGCCCTGGCCCAGGAAGTGCTCTTCACATGGCCGCTGTGATCCCTTCTAGATTTGAGGTTCCTCCAGTGTCTCTGAAGCCTTCCTCATGCACGGGCTGTGCCTTACAAATCGCCCTCTCTGGGACCCGCCGAATTCTGAGTGGTTTGGTTTGTGTCCATTCAGCCATTCAGGTGTTCAGATACTGAATGTGAGCTGTGGACCTCCTCAGGGCCGAGCACGGAGACAGATGGAATGATGAGTGGGCACCAATGCACCCTCCATCTTCATTAGCGTCTTCCGTGTCTTGAGGACCTGGGGGACATTCTTCACATAAAGGCATGGCTGTGTCATCGCAGGCTGTAAGGTACACACGGTGCCATGACAGTGGGTGTCTGCTGGACAGGAGTGCATCTCCATGCATCTTCAAGTTGATGGGGGTGGGGAAGCTATGTGTGAGGGTGGGTGTGGTCGGAGAAGCTGGAGGTGGGGCATGGTGAGCGTGCAGTCTCTTTCCTAGGAGGATGGGAGGCACTCGAGGCTGTAAAGTAGAGGAATGTGGCTGGAGGGCAGCATGGCTGCTAGGCAGGGGAGGGGAGGAGGAGAGTGGCAGAGGGGCAGACCCCATCACCTGCTCATCAGGCATCGGCGCTGGGAGCCCCTCTGAAGCTGGAGTTGGCTTTTCCCATGCAGAGATGAACAAAACATGCCTCCCACATACCCCAACTTGCAGAAGCAGCCCTGCCTGGCGAGGAAGACCCTTTCCACACAGAGCAGCAGGCATGGGGACCTCAGAGAGGGGTAGCATTTATAGAGACAGAAGGAATGGCCCAGAAGTACACTCCAGGCAGGTCAGGAGCTTGCCAAGACCAAGGCTGGATGAGGTGCCGGACAGACTTCAATGTGTATCTGCTGGGAGGGGGGAGCTGGGGCCCACAGCAGAGGTCACGCCTTGTCATCATGGAGAAGGGCCTCTGGAGAGCAGGCACAGCAGGAGAGGCCGTGCGTGGCAGAGTGTCTGGGCTGTTGTGGCTGGTACCTGACCCTTTAGGGTCTGGAATGCCTTGTGAGGCAGGTTGGTCCTGTTTTCTTAAATTTTTACAATTTAAGAAAAGACTTAAATTTGGGGAGTTGTAGCTGTGACTTCCAGCATCAGCAGAGGGTGTGGGAAGGTCAGCTTGCCCTGGCCCTTGGCTGCCCACGCAGGAGCCCGCATTGTGCCACATGGCCTCGCCCTCAGAGATGGCATTCTGCTTTCTGCTGGGCCTTTTGGCACCTAAAGTGTTTCGTTCTGCAGTTGATGGGAGTGTGGCCAGGCATGTGTCAGATTTGTGTGGGCCAGCATGCTTAGGGTTTATTTTTACAATTTAAGAAAAGGCCTTTGTCATTGATATCTTTTACATCAAAGTCAAAGCTTCTCATCCCCACCATCTTGTTTGGAAAAAGCAGCTGTGCAAAAAACGGCCTCTGTGGTTAACTCATGGGAATCAGGCCAGCGTGTGTTTAGAGGGCTGCGCTGGGAGATGCCAGCAGATTACCCTCACCTCTCAGCACGGCCTTCTCCTAGGAGCAGCAGCTGAGAGCCTGGGGCTGGGCCTACAGCAGGTACTGCCCACTCTTGCCGGCCTGCCAGGCCTCGTCCAGGCCAAGCAGCAGCTGTGGTCAGGATTTGGGAGCCAGTGGATCTGCTGGAAGGACCTGGGAGAGGGCCTTGGAGTGTGCGGTGACAGGGAAGCTGGGTGATGCGGGCGTTTATGCAAAGGACTCAGTCAGGCCCAGTGGTCAGGAGGAGGGTTGTTTGTAGCTTGGGCTGTCTCCCTGAGCTTCTCAGGAGAGAGGTGGCTCAACTGACCATGCGGACAAGGTCTTCTGCCCAGCCAGGGCACAGGCTAGGCTGTTTTACTCTGTGTACTCGGCACATGTCCTTCCAAGCTTTCTCTTCCAGAACTCCTCCTTTCTGGAGCGTCCCTGCCCCTTCCCCACCCAGCCTCGGCAGGGGTGGCCTGCCCCCCCACCCCCACCCCCACCTCGCCAGGCTTTTGGCAGATGCAGTGTTTTCAGGGTCTTATTGCCGTGCCTCAGTTTCCTGTTGTAGCTTCAGTTTCTCAGGTGTCCGTGTTCTCAGGGTCAGTTTCCTGTTGTAGCCCACAGCGGGATTGGTGCACCTCAGGGAAGCATCCATGTTTGCAGCTCACTGTTGTTCTGAGTGGGGGCACATGTGTCATGACTTGTGCTTAATTTTCCTGGGACCATGGCAGGCAGCCCGTCTGGCATGTGGGTGGGACAGCAGGGGCCCTGGCAGGCTGCAGACCCCTCCCCTGAGGAAAGTATCTTGGACACCAGGCAGACACGGCCACCCCACTCCCCAGGGAGGAGCTGTTACAGTGCTAAGGCCAGAGGCCTTCCTGTCATCTTCCTCTCCACACAGCTCTTGAGGGCTGAGGAGCGAGTGGGGAGATGAGAAAGGCTTCCTGTCTTGGATGGACCCCATTTCTCCTTTTAATCTCTGTGTTCCTCCTGAGTGTGAAGTGCTTTTCCTGCAGGCCTTTCATGAAAGGTGCAGAGGCACATTTTCTAAAGTGGTTGGTTCAGAGGAAGACATCACAGATACCTGTGGCCCTGCTGGTGTGTAGGTCACATACCACACGGCAGCAGGGACCCCCCAGCCCTGTGTAGCTGCCCTGCCCTCAGCAACCATGGGCTGATGGCCAGGAGAGGGGCCCGGTGGGTGTCAGGGACGGTGCTGCCTGCCACCTCCCACCCCGACTGCCTAGGAGGACCAGGGATGATCCTCACATGCACACAGGCATAGCCACACGTATGTACACCTGCTCATGCACATGTGCACACACTCACATTTTCACATCCACATATTTGTTGTATGTGAATGACATGTATCACATCACATTGTTTTTCAGCACAGAAGCTAGTGGGAGCGTCAGTGAGGATTTTTAAGAGGCAGCAGCTGAGGAGCCCTTTCAGCCGGAACAAATCTGAGCTTGTCCTCTCTGCTGTCAAATAGCAGCTCTAGCAAATCCTAAATGTTGCCTGTGGATTCAGCAACTGGTTAGATGCTAGCTCATTGCAGAGGCTCACCTGTCTGTGCCTGCGCCTGTTACACTCGGGCCCTCCTTCCCAGCTGCACGATGCCTTCTGGGTCCTGGAAGGTGCTGGAGGCCCTGGAGACGCCGGCCTGCCTCAGAGCATGCGAGGTGCCCCATGACCCCACTCACCCCAGGATCCGCACTCCTCGGGACACACGGTGCTCTTTGATCTCCACTCACACACCAGACACCCAGTGTCCAGACCCATGTTCTTTCCAGAGGGCCAGAGTGTGTGGGCAACCACGAGCTAGGCTTTTAATGTTCTTTTGTAGAAATTTCCACCTTTCATCCATCAAATCACCATTAAACACAGTTGCTCTAAGTCCACTCATGAAGCCCCATGTAGGTAAGCAAAAAGACTGTCCCTGCCTGTAGAGCTTCTAGGCTGGTGGGTTGATCTTGGAGCTCACCGTGCCCAGCCTACACCACCAGGGAGCATTCAGCCTGGGAAAGGGGAACGGTTTCCCCTGGTTCTGTGCTGTTCTGAAGCTGTTCCTGTCCCCCACTGTGGGAAGTCTGCTCCCTGGGCAGGTCTGTAGGC